TATGATCACCCATATAGTAAACGGTCACATCATTTAAAAAGTTCTTTGTAAATTGAAGAGATAGCTATATAAAATAAAGAAGCCAAGCCAAATAGAAAATAAAAGATCATTTATGGAGAAAATGATTCATGTAAATTGTCTAAAACTTCAATTCTGTTGAGTCTCTTCTCTTTTCTGGCTGTGTTACCAATTATAACAACTCTTAAACACAAGAAAGTTTTCAAAGTCTATTTTACCAAAAATGGTAAGGGTAATTTTAGCTGTTTCCTTATATGGAAATATTTGGCATTCATTGACTAAGCAGCCAGTGCTGCTATTGGTTGAATTTTATAAAATCTTTCTATGAAAACAGTTTTTCAGGAAAATAAATTTTTCAAATTTTTCTCGCTCTTTCCAGTATTGATGGGGGCTTCCTTCATAACCTTTTATTTGAAGTAGTGTAGAAAATCAACATCTTATTTTTTCTTCATATTATATGTGCTATTCAGTTTTTAGTTGTTGCTACTGTTAAAATTCCTCAAGTGATGTGGTTTCTGTTATTTAGTACAGTTCTTTGTTTGCAGTTCTGTAGCGCTAATCCACAAAGTTTGAAGAAGGATAAAACTCTCTAAGATTTATAAGACTCACTTGCTGAAAGCCATTTTTAATCATTAATTTAAGAAAGTGGCTGTATACAGCTTAGACATTTCTGAATGAATGAATTACATGGCATCCATATGAAACTCTCAATCTGACAAGACTAAGCACATGACTTGAATTCTTAGGCTAACGTTTTGGTTCACTATTTACATTATTCGGACTACTGTCCTCATCTTTGTCGCCATATTTATTACGTTTTGGCCATTGTACATTCTGGCCTTCTTCAGGTGGTTGGAATGTCAAACTGAACACTTTATTTCACTCACTGGGGTAGACTGTTCTAGTTCCACGTGCCATGTTTAATGGATGTCAGTTATCAGTTATCTCCAGTTAATTCCCATCTCCAAGTTCTCCACTGCCTTAACCAGGTATTGAACTCACACTCAGTTCGACATTCCAACCACCTGAAGAAGGCCAAAGTGTACAATGGCCGAAATGTTGTAATAAATATGGAGACAAAGATGAGGACAATAGTGTAATGTAAATAGTGTACATAATACCTCATCTCAGAAATATAGACAGATAACATTTTGGTTTTGTAACATTTTGTAGTGTTGGACAAAACTATCTCTAGCACAGCCTATTCTATATTCAATTTTCTTATCTCCTATATTAAATTTGTTATAACTGATCCATACACTAAGGTATTTGAAGTGTTTAGTATTTACTAATGTCATATCCTGACTTTTATGAAGGATTAAGGTTATATATTATCACTGTTTTTATTCTATTTCCAGGCCGTAGTTTCTGTTTTGGGAAGGTTTATCTTGACTCCTACTTTTGGGAACACTTGGTAGAGAATGTTGACTTTTTGTTCAAGATCATTCTTATTTCAAATATATATACATATATCATCAGCATGGCTCTCATTATCAGTACACTGGCTTTGAGAGATGCTATCTCCACCTACGGTAGACTGAAGAGTTTCTATCCGTCCATCAGCACACCTGCCGGTTTTGAATTCAGAGTTGTCCTTCTCCTACACTTGTTGCCAAACAAGGCTAGAGAGCCCAATTTGCCCTGCTACTTAACCCATAACTGAGGTCAAATAGTCACACTAGCAGCATGTGTAATTTTCAACTATGTGCTCACACGATAAGGATTCTGCTCCTTATTTTGATGAAACAAATTACTAGCTGGAAAGTAGAATTTCATTTGGTTTATTTTAATATATTAATGTATTTCTTATTTCTAAGAAATGGTAAAATTATTGCTTCAACCACCCCTAGCTGTCTAAAGCAAAGACCATTTAGAGTATAAATATTTGAATTATCACTTTACAATAAAATTCAAATCTATGTTATCAGATGGTAGCCATGATGTACAAACTAATCAACTTTTAAGTCTTAACTTTAACTAGAATTGGTAGAAAGGAAAACATGGGATTTTATTACAATTGTAATATATTCAATAATGTAGCATGACTGAAAAGGGTCATGGATAGTGTGGTCAAAGTTCCAGCTCTCATATTTGATAACAGTAACATAATTTATGGATAACACATGAGCAAATATATATACATAATCAGCTGCTGATATGGATTTGTTCATGAAATTTCTAAGTACAACTAGTAGAGCAATAGAAGGGTACCTATGCAGAGGCCCTACTGCTTTTTGAGTACCTAGTGTTTTGGTGCAAAGTAGTGAGTGACGCCCACTCTGTTAGATGTGATCAGATAATTTTAAATAAGAAAACATTGTCCTTTATTTGGCTATATGTTGCCTATATCCAAAATACTGAGAAAAGTGAGGACTATCAACTACCAAATAAATAGTGTTTTGTTATGTTTCCTTATTGTCCACTTCAATAAATCAAGTTATTATTACATACGACACACTTATAAAATGTTGACCTAACAATTGGCTTCACATGCTCATAAAATACTCTATTCTTATTGTTGACATGAACTTAATAAATTATTTTATCAAACTGATGCAGGCTGTGAAAAAAAAAATTGTTTCTCTGATGTACATTTTATATGAAACATATTGGCATTAATTCTACTTCTGATGAATTTTAATTTGAAATGAATCTTAGTGGACATGTGCATATGTATCAATTACATTAGAAGCAGAAGAAATATTTTTTGCAGATTATGGAAAAAAATGTGGATAATTTTATTAAATTTGAACAATCTGTTAACAATTAATATGAAAATGCTGATTCTTAAAGATATTAGAGTTAAGTAATATTTACGATTTCAAACCAGTATAACAAATTAAAAGTTTAAGAAACTTAACCATGCTTGAGTTTCACATAATGAAAAGGTATGATTATTGAATCATGACAGAGGAAAAGGAGATGTGACACAAATTCCAAGTGAAATGTTTTCTGTGCATCTAAATTTGTTTTAAGATTCATAGAAAGGTTTCCAGCATTTCTTTATGAAAAAAAAAATCTTTTATTCAATAAATTATAAAAGTTCAAGTGACTTATCTGTTTAGCAGACTCAAGAGTTTTGCATTGAAATGCTCATCAGAGCCAGATGCATGATAAATCTATTGAACTTATCAGATCTCAAATTTGTACTCTTTCTCATTGAATGAACACTAATTCTAACTTTCAAATTTGAAATTCTTAACACACTAGTTTCACTAGAAACAGCACAAGATCTAAATTTAGGACCAGTTAATTTTTTTTACATATAATTTCATCATTATTGCAAGGTATTATATAATTCATAATATCTAAACTTATTATTTATTTTAAAATTAATTATAGATTAAATTTATTTTTATATTTTTGATTTTCAAGTGGATATCAAACATATTTTTACATTAAATTTTAACTATATTTACTGCATATTAAGAAAAACTTCATAAATATTATTGATAAATATTTATTGTAATATAAATATACTGGTTATTTACTTTATTTATTTTAATATTACTTGTTATGTTTTAGATTTAGGGCAAAATAAGAGATTTATATATAGACACTAGTTCAAAAAAGGAGAGAGCCACCTCAGAGATTAGAGGGGATGAACTTGACTGAAGAATGAAAAAAAATGCAAAAGAACTCTTAGAGTCATTGAAAAAAGAATGGAATCAGAGATCAAACTTAACTTTGAGAGAACTTTTCAACAAAGGCAAAAGAGAAAATTTGGGCTGCATAAAGATAAAAGGCAAAAAAGGGATATAGAGAGAGAGAGCAAAATTCAAAGGCAAAAATGTTTTTTTTCCTTTTTTCTAAGGAATAAAATTTTTAATAAAAAATCAAATCACTTTTTAAACCATAAATAATAACATGGGGGGTAAAAGTACAAAACAATGTGTTTTAAAGAACTTAAAAAATGACCACCGTTAGATTATTCAAACTTTTTAACTGTAGTGTGGAATATATTATTTAAATATTTTTTTACTTTTTCTATTGCTGTGAGATTTTCTAATTGTAAAGAGAAAGATATTCACAACAGAAACATGAAAAGTAAAACTTAAGTTTTGAAAAAAGATCAAAATCACCAAAATCAAATCCATTCTATGTTAACAAAATCTTTTATTCCAAATTCAGAGAGATCATTAGAGAAGAAGAAGAAGAAGAAGAGATTTTCTATGAGAGAGAGAGAGAAACAGAATTGAGAGAGATAAGAGAAGAGAGCTGGTTGTGACTTTGAGAAATAGAGTAAGAGGCACAAGAGAGAGAGTTAGTAAATTGACCAAATGAGTAATGTTTAAGGAATTTAAAAAAAATGTGATAAAAGAATTGACAGGAAAAATGATTATTGAGAAAAAAGAACAAATACAGAGCCCAATGATTCTTTTTTGATGGAAAGAGAGAGAGAAAGAAATAACAGATGTTATTGTACAACAAATCAGCAATTAAGAGAAAGAGAAAAAAATCTTTTACTCATGGTAAAAAAGAAAGATTTCCTTAGACAGACACAGAGAGAGAGAGAAAGAAAGAGACAGAAATAAGATAAGGAAAGAAAAAGACTTTTCTTAAAACTTTTAACACGAAAAAGAAAAGAGAAAGGCGAGAGAGAGAGAGAGAGAGAGAGAGTGAAATAAATAAAATTGATGGGGCAAGAGAGAGAGATTTTATTGAAATAAAAAAAGAAAGAGAAAAAGGCAGAGAGAGAGAGAGTGAAATAAATAAAAAGAAAGAGAAAAAGGCAGAGAGAGAGAGAGAGTGAAATAAATAAAAAGAAAGAGTAAAAGGCAGAGAGAGACTTCTAAGGAAATAAATAAAAAGAAAAAAAAAGATTGAAGAGAGAGAGAGAGAGAAATAACAAAAGAAAGGAAGGAGGCAGAGAGAGAGAAAAACAGAAATAAGTAAATCTGAGAGAAAAGGCAGAGAGAGAGAGAGAGTGAAATAAAGAAAAAGAAAGAGAAAAAGGCAGAGAGAGAGAGAGTGAGATTGAATTAAAAGAAAGAGAGAAAAAAAGAGATTGAAGAGAGGAAAGAATGAAAAAAAAAAGATTGAAGGCAGAGAGAGAGAGATGAAGAAAGCTGAAAAAAAAAGAAAGGAAGGCAGAGAGAGAGAGAGACAGTTGAAGGCAGAAATAAAAGAAAAGAGTAAAGGCAGAGAGAGAGAGAGAGGAAATAAGAAAAAGAAAGAGAAAAGGCAGAGAGAGAGAGATAAAATAAAAAAAGAGAAAGAGAAAGAGAGAGAGAAAAAAACAGATTGAAATAAAGAAAAAATTTAGAAACAGAGAGAGAAAGGCAAATAAAAAGAGAGAAAAAAACAGAGAGAGAGAGAGAGAGAAAAAAAAGAAAGAAAAAGGCAGGAGAGAGAGAGAGAGAAAAAATAAAAAGAAATTTTATAAAAGAGAGAGAGAGAGAGAGAAAAAAATGAATCAGAAAGAGAAAGAGAGAGAGAGAGAGGAAAAAAGAAAAGAAAGACAAAAAACAGAGAGAGAGAGAGAGAGAGAGAAAAAACAAATTGAAAAGGCAGAGAGAGAGAGATAATAAAGAAAAAGAAAGTTTAAAAGGCAGAGAGAGAGAGAGATATAAAAAAACAGATTGTCTCCAGTTAAAAAATAGAGAGAGAGAGAGAGACAACTTTAAAAAAAGGCAGATTAAAAGGCAGAGAGAGAGAGAGCGAGAGAGAGAGAGTGAAATAAATAAAAAGAAAGAGAAAAAGACAAAGACAGACTGAATTATATGCAAATAGAAATTGAAAAAGAGAGAGAGAGAGAGAGAAAAGAAAAAAAACAGAAAAAGGCAGAGAGAGAGAGAGAGTTGAAAAAAAAAAGAAATTGAAAATTATAGCTGAAAGATAGAGAGATGAAAAATAAATAAAACGAAAGAGAAAAAAGGGACAGAGAGAGAGAAATAAGAAAAGAGAGAAATCAATTGAAAAAGGAAGATTCAAAGAGACGGAATCAAATTTTTATTATTTCCGGGAAGAGAATTTATTTTAAATCAGGGACCACAAGGAGAAGAGAGAAAATAAAGTGTGTGTGTAATGTTGTGTTTTGAGAAAGATAAAAGAAAATGCAAAGAAAGGATTAGGATAAAAAAGGTGAGAAATAAGAAATAGAGAGAAAATGTGTTTGATGGGAGAGAAGAAGAGAGAGATCATAGAGCTGTAGTACGAGAGAAGGAGAGGATTAAACGAGAGCTTGTATACATTGAGAGGAGGGATAGGAAAAAAAAAGAGAGAGAGAGAGAGAAAGGGCGAGAGAGCTTTGAATTAACCTGCAAAAGGAGGAAAAAGTAGAAAAAGGGATCAATCAATTCGGGAAAGTTTAAACTAGAAAAGAGTAAGTAGATATCCACGTATAACCATGATTGAAATCGGAAATATCTCATTTCAACCAACTGTAGATAAACAACAGGGCAACCCAGATATATATATATATATATATATATATATATATATATATATAAAGAAAGAACAGTAAGATATGAATACGGTGTTCTTTGTTATTTTTATTTATATTTTACAAAACAGTGCTCAATACCAAATTTCAGAGCATAAATGTTAAATATAAATTATTTTGAATCAAACCCATACTTATATATATATATATATATGATATATATATATATATATATATATATATATATATATATATATATATATATATATATATATATCCGGCTGACTGTCGTATTCATATATTTCGTTACAATACGTTACAATTTCCCTTTGTGTGATAGCCTAGGGGTAGGATCCTGACTGATGCCAAGGGTTTGTTTCAATCCCGGTTTCCCCAAAGCATTCGGACGTATATATATATATGAAGATTTTTGATATTAGCGAAACTGTTTGTCTGTGGATATAAATATATATATATATATATATATATATAAATATATATATATATATACATAACAGTGCTGTTCGATAAAAGTGACTCACCTGATGTTTTTACTAAAAATATTTTTTGTCTATTGTTTTTGGGGCTAAAATAATTTTTAATCTTACTAATATAAAGACCCCTTCCCAACCACCCAGGAAAAAAAAGTTTATTTACTCTAAGGTATTCTATTGATAATTATAAATTTGGATATAAATGAGATTAAAGAAAAAAATCTGTGCAAAAAATGTAACTCGGATATCGCATTCTAATGATTAAACTGGTAAATTTAAAGAACTTTTGACAAAATATTGAAAACTATTTTACAATACACTCAGAACAATATTCTAGAGAATTCTAGAACAGCTTAAATTAAATCTAGAGTATTCCAGAATATTCCAGAAAGCCCCATACAGTAAAAAACAGTTTGAAATAGTCACTCAGAACCACTTAAGGCATCTATTATTGCCCTCTCAAAAGCAGGCAAGTCTACGAGAGAAATTAAAGGAATTGCTATAACCTTGCAATCAACTGTCTCTCAAGTGCTTAGGACATATAATGATGCCACTCCTGCTCCAAGGAAGGAAACAAGGGGACGAAAGAAAAAGATTGATTATAGAACTGGCAGGGTAATCAAGAGAGAAGCTGCGAAGAATAGGACTATAACTAGCCAGAAATTGCAGCCAGTCTAAGCGAAGACTAAGGTGTTAGTCTGCTCTTCAACAGTCCGTCGGTGGCTGTTAGAACAAGGCGTTACAAAATCTTGTACACGAAGGTTTAAGCCACTAATAAGCAACCAACAAAGCCAAGAGACTTGAATGGACTCACTATTACAAAATTTCACTGTAGAAGACTGGAAGAATGTTCTCTCTGATGAAACGAAAGTTGGGCTAAATTTAATGGATAAGATCTAAAATTGGAAGAAGAAGCTTTGAAAGCTCTTTTGAATTTAGCAGGTACTGTCAAGAATCCGTTCAGTATAATGTTCTGGGGATGCTTTTTATTTTCATGGAACTGGTTCCTTAAAACCTATTGAAAAGACCCTCAGGGCGAGCAGTATGAAGAGAATTAGCGTCTTGTCTGGGTTCCCCTTCTGCTGAAAAGGGTGCAAATCGACCCCATCAAGCTCAATTTTATGCAGGATAATGCTCCTGTCACAAATCAAAATTGATGAAGGAATACTTTGATGAGACGAAGGAGTGTTATGACATGGTTGCCCAATCTCCTGACCTCAAACCCATAGGAAACTTATGGAGCATTATAAAGTACAGGCTCTTGAGAAAAGCAGTTGAGCAACAAAGAGGATTTGATTAGAATTTCTATATCCGAATGGAATTCAATGCTTGAGATGGATTTTACAGAACCTAATCAAGTCAATGCTAAAAAGGGTTGAAAAGGTTATTCAAAAATAAAAGAAGAGCCTATAGATTATTAAATATTTCAAACTATATTACCTATTCTAAATAAATTATACATCTATTATTATATATAATATTATACAACATAAAATAAAATAAAAATTTTTTTTTTTTTTTTTTTTTTTTTTTTTTAAAAAAAAAAAAAAAAAAAAAAAAAAAAAAAAAAAAAAACCCAAAAAAAAACATAAAAATTTTATATACATACAAAAAACAAAAAAATATATACAAAATATATATACATACACAAAAAAAAACAAAATTTAAAAAACAAAAACAAAAAAACACACAAAAAAACAAACCCAAAAAAAAAAAACATTTTATATATACA